GCCTGGCGCCTCAGGGGAGAGCTATTCATTCCCAACGTTCCCAAACAGCTACCTGTGGCTTTGGCGCGGATGAATGACGGCAAGGACACTTGCAGACGGTCTTTCCATGGGCCCCAGAAGTCCCCTAGGAGCTGTGTTGGGGGAGGGGAGAGATGGGGGTGGGGACGGGGACAAGGGGCCGCTCGCATGCAAATACCGCTGTGACAATCCAGCCGGGCGCCTCCGCGCCTGGGGGAGGCCGAGGCTGGAACAAAGCATTAGCATTTTCTACATGTGAAAAGCCCGCATTCCTGGGCCCCTCTCCGCATTCACACTCCGGACCACACAGAGCGCTTCTCCAGCCAAAGGCTCCAAGGTTCGTTTCAGCTTTCTTTTGACCCGGGCGATGCATACGAAATGTAGATATTTCCCTAAACGCCGGCTTTGACATTTAATGCGATCCTAAGTAGTCTGAAATGTGGACCGGATTAGGACGAGGCTTGGGGCCCACAGGGACACTTGGCCAAATCCTCCTAAATCCTCCCGGACAATTGTTTGTCACCACACGGATCCCCTCTGCCCCAAATGAAGGGGCTAATGAACTTCGCTGCCTCCTCCCCTGGCGCCCCCACTCCTACCCTACAGCCCGTATTTCAGCCCGGTTCTTGCCAGGAAGAACAGGAAGGTGAATGTGTAAACTGCTTGCTTTGTGTCAGTGAGGGTCTGCTTACTCTAGGCTGGGCCGCTGAGTCTGACCAGTACCCACCTGTGTTGGGCCGTATTTAACACTTGATAGGGCTCAGGTCAAGGATGCTGAGTCCCTGTGTTATGTTAACTGGCCAACCCAGCCTTGCAAGTAGTTCCTGGGACACTGACAGGCCCAGGAGGAAAACATTACCAAATTCTTCCCTTTAGCCCGGTGGGAGTGGCTCAGTGGTTGAGCATCCACCTATGACTCAGGAGGTCACAGTTCAATTCCGGGTCAGGGCACATACCTGGGTTGCAGGCTCAATCTCCAGCGTGGGGTGTGTGAGAGAGAGCCAATCAATGAGTCTCTCACGTCATTGATGTTTCTCTCTCCCTCTCACTTCTCTGAAATCAATTAAAAAAAAATATATATATATATATATATATACATATATATTTATAATTCTCCTGTTCAGATTTTATTGCTCATACAGATCCTTATACTCTATCATGAACAGGAAGGAGAAGAAAACAAATTACAAAGAACAGAACATAGACTGTGCCTTCAGATTTGCCACGTTACCATGGGCTTCAACAAAAAAAGCTCACCAGCCCATGCCTTTGGTAAGCATGGGTGGAATGAAGAGTTGGGGCATAAGAGACCCTCCTTGCAGGTCAGGGACGCAGGGAGGCAGTGTGAGATGGCGAGGATGTGGACACAATGAAATTGGAAGAGAGTTCCTAGGAGCGGAGGAGACTGAAGCAAAGCCCTGGGGGTGGGAAATGGTGACTCCTTTTGGGTGACAGCAGAGAATCCAGTTTGGGGAACAGGGGTGTAAAGGAGGGATCCACAGAAGCTAAGCAGAAGGGAGCAGTTACCAGGTAAAGACCCTGAAGCTCCTGAAGGAACCTCTGGGTGGGAGTGAGAGCTGTTGGAGGAAGTGTAGGGTGGTGAGGAAAGGGTGGGAGAAGGGGCCTGAGGCAGGGAGACTCTGGACTTCTTGTCATCACAGGGTAAGGGCCCGAGGCAGGTTAACAATGGGATGAGAACACAGGATGCCAGTGAACTGGACACTGGACATTCCAGAGTAACTTACCTCGGAGCCCCCTGCCCCCTGCCACCCACCTGCAGTGCCACCTCCACAATGTCCCAGGTTCAGAAAACAGTCTCTGCTATGACATCTTCTGCATCACACAGTGAAAATTCCTACACTGTGGAGTTCCCAGCATGTGCAGCAATAGCAACAATAGCCAGGCCCTTAAACCTCATTCCAACCTTGTGAGGTCGGTACTGTTTGTGTCCTCATTTTACAAATAAAGAAACCAAGGCACAAAGAAGCAAAACAACCTGTTCCAGATCAAACTGTCCCAGGGAGAGGACCAAGATTTGAAGTCAGTCCGAGTCTGGCTCCAGGGTCTAGGGGCAGAGGGTGACTGGGCTGAGCAGGTCCGTTAGACAAGTAAGAGGGAGGAGTAAGTGAACTCACCTGTATGTACTCAATGGTGCGCTTTGCATTCACCATCCTCACACTGGACCCTGAGGAACGGTACGCTCATTTTGCAAACCTGTCAAAGAACTTAGAGACCCAGCATTTGCTCAATGTTGCTTGGGTTGAGTAAGGGGCAGAGTTCCTAGCTAACTAGTCAGATAAGGGACTGTGTGTGCTGGAAATATCCATCAGGGCATGTGGTTATGACAGGGGGCAGAATTTGAGACGTGCTGCCCTGTGCAGGCAGGTGGAAGAGGATCCGGAAAAGCCACTGAAGGTTGCTGGGCCTACATGCTGGTCAAGGAAGTGGCCAGAGCGGAGTTCTGTTGCGGGCCTCCTATGGGGTAGGAGCCAGGAGGACGACCCCAGCCCTTCTAAGGGTTCATTCCTTCTAAGAAGTTTGGGGGACACCTACAATCACATTCTCATTGGGTCAGTGAATTTTGCCCCATTTTGCAGCCGAATGGATGGTGGAGCTTCAACAGGGCGCTTCTCAGAACTCACGTCCCCATCAAATAAGATGCCATCCTTTGAGGCTACGTCCTACAGCACCCACACCTGTTAAACTACAGAAAACCGTAAGATCCCCCTTGATGGCACATACAAGAATCAACCAATAAATGCATAAATAAGTGGAACAACAAAGCGATGTTTCTCTCTTGCTCTCTAAAATAAATAAAAAATTAAAACCTTTCAGCAGAGTTAGTATTACTTTGGTTAGCAGGTGGCATTAACAACAGGGAGTGGGGGCGGGGGGTGGGGGGGAAACACGTGGGAAGAAGCCTTCCTGGCTGATGCACCCAGTACAGTCACCAGGTGAAGAGCTTACATTTAATGTGCCGGGATCTGCCCAGGGTGGCAGTGGGAGGCAAAGCTGGGCTGCTGGAATCCCAATTTGTCACAAGGTATCAGAGATAGTTCTCAGGCTGGGAAAACATTTAATGAGGCTGTTCCAGCCACTGCAGCAGGTACTGGCAGCGACTTCACTTCTTTCCCAGCCTTCCTTGCGGCTAAGGATGGCTAACAAAGGACCTGACAGAGGTGATGTAAGCTGAGGTCTGATGGGGTTTTCTGGGAAAGCTTTGATCCTGACAGTCTCCTATCAAGACAGATTGCCTTTGCCCTTGCATTCATGCCTTCCATGTGGGTATAATGCTGGAACATCTTGTGACCATGGGACAAAGGCCCCAATGCTAAGAGTGATGAGGGAAAATAGAGCCGAGTCCCTGCTGGCATCATGGAGAACTAGAACCCAGGCCAGCAGGTAGCTGTCTACGTGCCCCCTTCAGTGAGGGAAAAGCATTCATCCTTTAAACAGCTGGTCCATTTTTTGCTACTTGTAGCCAAATGTGTTCTTATTTAACACAACAACATGGGGCCTAACCTGCCTCACAGTGATTCCTGCTTTCCCATAAACAGAACAGCAATTGGGGAAAGTTCTAATTTCTTGACATTTCTTCCAAGATTATCTTTGAGTATAATTACAGGCCTTTCCCACTTCACACAACCCAGGGCCCGGTGGCGTTCTAGCCATTTTTGAGGTTTATAGACTCTCTCTCCAGAAGGTGCCCAGGTTAAGCAACCCCGTGACCATCCTGCAGCAGAGGAGGGGTCCCACAGAACTGGGGCTTGGAGAGTAGAGACTGCACACCTGGACCAATGGCCAGTGCAGCTTAAGGGAACTCCTTTCATCTCATCTGGAAAAGGCTTTGAGAGGCCCACGGAAATGAGGGCCTGTATTCTGGACGTACATGGAAAGAATCTGTTCTGTGTATAAAACTGTAATGTGACAGCCCTGGCCGGCTAGCTCAGTTGGTTAGAGCACAGTCCTGACATGTCAAGGTTGCGGGTTCCATCCCCAGTCAGGGCACATACAAGAATGAATCAATGAATGCACCAATAAGTGGAACAACAAATCCAAGTTTCTCTCACTCCCTCTCACATCAGTTAAAAACAACAAAAACTGTAATCTGACAAAAGAGCAAGACCCATGTGCACATCCATCCCTGCATCTGAGTCATTTGCAGGCAATGTCTAATACACCACAAATACTCAGTTCTGGGATACAGCCCTAGGCTCTGTTAGATTTCAGCCAGTATCTAATTCAGATAAAGTTCTGGATAAATCTTGGGCTATGCATACACTCCCCTTTCCAGCTGTGAAACCCAGGGACCTGCATGGAGCTAGCTAGTGTGATACACTGTTCCAAATCTGGGAACTGGAGAGATGCAGATAGCAAGAATACTCCTAAATGACTAGCTTTGATGAATGTACCCATTTGATTTTAACTGGGAGGTCATCCGTTTTTCTAAAGCAAGTCTGTATTACATTTGATTTTTTTTCCTTCTACTTCAAGTTAGTATATTAACTCTATGCACAAATTTTGGCCACGTTGATCCTGCAACACGTACCTGTCTTCGGGAAAGGAGCCTGTACATTTTTGTCTGCATCTGCAAAGGGGTTAGCAACAAAGCTTGAACAACTTGCTAACAGGCTCCAGAATCAGTGCCTCTGCCCAAGGGGAAGGATGTGACACGGGACCAGAGCCCTGAACCTTGTTGTCTTCACTTGTGATTTTTAGCAAATTGATTCCTATCAGATCAGTAATCTCTTCTTTTGGCCAATTTAACTAGCCCTCTGGGTTTCATTCTGCATTGTTGGTCCTTTAATTCATAACTAGGCGTAAAACACATGAAGTTCTCCTCCCCTATGCCTCCGGGTCAGCTTCTGAAGGGCTACTCCTCTACTGCTGAGGTGGTTCTCTCAATTTTACAAACTTTAACACTAAATAAATCTCAGATGCCAACATACTCTGAACAGTTGCAAGAAAGACAAAATCTGTTATATGAGGCTGTTCTGGTAAGACCATGATTTAATTACCTATGACACAGATACATTACATAATGGCTCCAAATTAATAGTCTAGCAAAGATTAAAGAAAAACAGATGAAAATTAATTTGTGAATCCTTAATTTTAAGTGAGCTTCCGGCAAAACAAAAAATAGAATCAGGGGTCAGAATCGTTTCAAATTGTATGTCCAAAACTAGCACCCTTCACCATCTGTCTTTTATTCATTTTGCTGTGATACAACTAAAAAGGCCCATAAGTACTCCCCTGGGTCTCAGGTAACAGTTTTCCAAGAGCAAAATATCACTTTCTCTGTACAGTGAACGCTGGCATTTGGATGGGCTGGATCGGGTGGACGGGCTGAAACACCGGCTTCTTTCTCATTTCAGAGAGTGTTTTCACTGTAGGGAGCAGCTGATTCCTTTTGATGATCTGTAAGGCCAGCTGGGTATTACCTAAAAAACACTTCCCATTAAAAAAATAAAAAGAGCATACAACAATACCACCACATCTAAAGCAAGCCACTGGGATCTGCGAGGGGGGTTAGAGATGTTCTGGAAGAGCCGGGGTCGGTCTCTCTGCTATCAGAGGAATCACATCATGCCTCCGTCCCAGCCCCACAGGGACCTGTGTGACCTGGGCAATGGGATTTTTTTTAAGCTCCGCAGTGATGCTCAGGTATAGCTCAGGTTGAAAACTTGTCTATAGGCAGAATGCACAGTAGGGATCTAGAACCATGCACTGACCCTAATTGTGCCTTTCAGGAGGCCATGATTAGTGCCAGGCACTTAATGCCCCTTCTTCAGCTATAAAGAAGGGAACCTTGTAAGGATTCCCATGATCCACAAGAAGGTCTGACTTTCAACTCTATTTCTGTCTCTTCTAATTTCTCCCATTCACATATCTTTTCTACTTCATGTTCTCTCTTACATGGGACCCATAGCCTTTCTTGCAGGGAGCCAAATCCTTGAGGTTATCTATACCGCAGAAGTGTAAGCGGTATTTAGGACTGTCTAAACCAGTGATGGCGAACCTATGACACGCGAACTCATTTTTTTGGTTGATTTTTCTTTGTTAAGTGGCATTTGAATATATAAAATAAATATCAAAAATATAAGTCTTTGTTTTACTATGGTTGCAAATATCAAAAAATTTCTATATGTGACATGGCACCAGGTTAAGTTAGGGTTTTTCAAAATGCTGACACGCCGAGCTCAAAAGGTTCGCCATCACTGGTCTAAATAATTCTCAGCAAAAACTGATTTACTGCAAAACTCATTAATGATATCTATGTTCAAAGTACTCAGATGTACAACTCAGAGCCACTGGCATTCTGACTCATGATCTCAATTAGAGTCATTTGGCTGCCTAAGAGAAAGGTTAGTCAGTAAGGATTAAATTATAATTACGCCGAAGAAGTTATGCTATTTCACATTTTCACAGATAAAAGGAAATACACTTAACTTGCAAGAAGGAAGAGTCTGCAAAATACCAAAAATTCCCTAGCTACGTTTTTGTTTAGAAGACCCTGATGGGTAATATCTTCAAGGAAGGCTAAGTTCTAATTTCAAAGAGAAAAAAGCAAACCCCAGTAAGAAGAGGAGGAAAGCATTCCTTACCATTCTGCAGTTCAAGGTAGACTGCTAGTAGGATGGCTTCAGGGGGTATCTCTTTAGGATGGATCATTGAAGCCGCCTGTGCTCAAAACAAAAAAGTCACCCGTGAAACCAGCAGCTTAAGATGCAAACGCCAAGTAATGCCAAAACAAACAAACAAACAAAAAGGACGTCAGCCTACCAATGACAAGTTAGCAAACTTATTGAAGCTCATTCCCACATGACCTCCCAGGGACCACTATAGTTCTGCTCTGATGGCTCTCAGATGCCTCTGTCTTGATCCCTACCAACGAAACCAGACATGTAATTTTTAGTTAAATATTTATTTTCCCTTGCCTAATCCATAATAAGGTCTTCAGATGGGAAAGCCTTTCTGCCCCCTTGGCTTTCACTTGCCTGGGTTCTTTTATCTCCAGGCTATATTTAGTTTTGAGAGTTAGACCCTCCTGACTCCACTCACCAGCTTTCCACCACACATACACTGGCACTTAGAGTAAAATCTGCATGCCCATTCATCTTCCTACGTAACAGGTCAGGACTGTAACCTGCAAGTTCCCAATGTTAGCAACAGAAATTCAATCTTAAAAGCTGGCGATATAGGCCTGGCCGGTTTCTCAGTGGTTAGAGCACTGGCCCTTGGGTTGAAGGGTCTTGGGTTCCATTCCAGGTAAAGGGCACATACCCTGGAAGCAGGTTCAATCTCCCCTGCCCATCCCCCCTCAGGAGCTTGAAGGAGGCACTAATTGATGTGCCTCTCACATGTCCACGTTTCTCTCTCCCCCACCCTCTCTCTCCCCCTCTCCCTCCCTTCTACTCTCTCTAAAAACCAATGGAAGAAGTACCCATGGGTGAGGATTAAAAAAAAAAAGGCCAGCGATACAGAAAATAGCATACCACTATGCCTATCATGTCTCCATTCTTAAGGACTAAACTGCGATTTAGTCAAAATAATTTCTTTGCTCAGGCAAATGCTGTCCTTCCCCAGATCCAAGATCCATTACCAGCCAGCAGCTCTCTCTGACCTGGTCCTTGGAAAAGGAAACCTGGACTGCTCTGGACAAAGGTGCTGCAGCCTTTCTGAAACTTACCATGGACTCATATCTCCCCATCCAGTTTCAGGTCCTCGTACTCCCAGGCTGCTTTGCTTCTTCCCTTCCCCTACCAGAAAGTGTACTTCTACAAATATTTACTGACCAGATAATAAGCAAGCATGTAAATAACTGACAATCACACTAACCAATTTACCTAAATGCCAGGGAGAGAGGAAAGGGAATGTACTGGGAATACGGAGAGAAAAGGCGTTTCTTTTGATGGACAGCTTCCAGGCGAGGGAAGCCTGCCCCACTCCTTGCAGGGTCCGTGTCTGACAGGCAGAAAATGGGGAGAAATGGCATCGCAGCCGAGGTGTGACTGCGGGAGCTGTCCGTGGGTCCAGACACTTGCCCAAGTTGTTACTGGCAGCATTAGGAGAAACCTCAGACGAGTGGGGATTCCTGCCCAGAGCACATGCTCCCGAGTTCCTCTGGAATGAAGCAGGGAGCTCGCTGTTCCTCCCACTACATTACTGAGGGGGAACAACTCCGTCCAGAAAAGGAGACTTTATATTTCCAGGCCCATCTTTTATTTTTATATATATATATTTTATTGGTTTCAGAGAGGAAGGGGGAGGGAGAGAGCGAGAGAGAAACACCAATGATGAGAGAATCCTGCATGCCCCCCACTGGGGATTGAGTCTGTAACCTGGGCATGTGCCCTTGACTGGAATCGAACCTGGGGCCCTTCAGTCCGCAGGTCGATACTCTATCCACTGAGCCAAACCAGCCAGGCCAGGCCCATCTTTATATAGGCAAGCTCACCATTACAGCATTTTGTGAATATTAAACTCTCCATTTTCCCTCCAACTGACCACTAACATGGGTCATTTGTTATTCTTCGCATTGACCACAGTCTGCAGCTTTATCTATTATGAGACTTAATGGTGTTTTGCTTACTCACTGTTCAGAATAGTCAGGGGTGAGCAGGCAACCTCAGAAATATATACTTGGGAGCCCTTTCCAACCCCTCACATCACTGTTCTGCCCTCCCAATTAACAAAGGTCCAGCCACTGGATTAACCTAAAAACCCAGGGACCAAAACAAACCTCCGTCAGACCCCGAAGGAGGCCATGTGTGTCTCCTAGCGTGGCAGCCGCCATGGCCACCTGCTGCATGAGAACCTGAGCTGGACCGTATACGCTGTAACTTTAGATCAAAAGCCCTGTTAGCTGCTGTCATCGGGGTCCACCAGCACTTTCAGAGGGCTGTTAACCACCCTTGCCTTGCCACTGAGAACAGTGAAATGTTGGAACTCGTACCCATTTAACTCCTGTACTCAACTCCTAGACAACATCGAAGGTGTTTCCCTGGATAGTCCATCACTTAGCTGTTCTGATTCTGGATCACAGATGCTGACCAGATGCCACTAAGTTGACTAAGCATCACTCCTGGTTATTTTCTGCATGGTAAGCCCAACACTGCTGGACACACCAAGTGGCCTTCACGGGAAGGAATCTCCCGAAGCCACCATATCCTGAGAATAGGTTCAATTTCAGTTACTCTGACAACATCTGGGGATGTGGGCTCTCTCATGTGCTGCTGGTCAATATGTCACTTGGCACAAACTTTCCATATTAAAAACCGTAACATCTGTATACCCTTTGACTTTGTAATTCCCCTTTTTAATAAGCCCTTATTTAGATGGTTTGCAATATATTTTTTTTAAATCCTCACCTGAGGATATGTCTTTATTGATTTGAGAGAGAGAGAGGGAGGAAAAAGGAAGGAGAGGGGAGAGGGGAGAGAGGAGAGGGGAGAGAGAAAGAGAAATGTTGATGTGAGAAAGAAACATTGCCCTGATCAGGGATCAAACCTGCAGCCTTGGGTATGTGCCTTGACCATGACCCTTCCATGCACGGCCCAACGCTCCAACCAAATAAGCCATACTGGCCAGGGCTGGTTTCCAATCTTTTGAAATTTAAATTATTAAAATCATCAGAAAAAAACTCTCCATTAAGTGCCTCGTTTCATTTTCTTTCTTTCCTAATCAAGTCCTAAGTTCATTTCCATACTGCTCAGATGTTTACCTTGCACGAATATCTCTAAGCATGGAAAAGAATATTCCGATGTTTGACCAACTCCCCAGGAGCCTCAGACAAAACAACGAAGCCCACACTCCACACCTTTGCTGGCCTCTCTGCCTCACCTGGTGCAGACACTTGCGGGCTTTGTCGTACTCGCTCCTCAGGCAGTAGGCGCTGCCAAGGTTAAACAGCATCACGGTCCTGGCAGAGTTGACGGAACTGGGGTAGCACTGAGGGGCCCGCTTCCCAGCTGGGGAAAAAGAGCACAGACACTGGTGAAGGGGTCAGGCCAAGGGCCCGGGAGCAACCCAATCCACTGCCCAAGAGCCGTTCCAAACAAAGCACAGCTCTGCCCCTCACACTGACAAATGAAGGACAGGAGGCTGGAGTCTAAATCTTTGGGATGCAGGCCAGGCTACTTAAGTATTTACAAAACTTCTCACTTACAGGATTCCATTGCTTCATTTTCTCCTTTGTCTGATCCTGCAGAGACATGAAAGTAAATCTCAGGAAGCAGGACAACAGAGTATATATCCTAAGAGCCTAATTTTCTTTATGAAATGAAAACCCAAGGTCCCAGCAATTGTATTTACTTCTCTTGTAGTAGAGGTTCTACTAAAAGACCCCAAAACCCGACCACCACCTACCACCCCGTGCCTGAGAAATAACCTTAAATGAAGTGGATGCCAGTCTCACTCCTTCAAAAAAACTTAGCCATGATTCAAAACGATAGATCTAACACTATCAGCCTTTTAAAAGTAAGAATTTAGACCACATGATAACCAACTCCTAGGTCTACTTAACAAACAATTACTTCAAAGGCAGTACAGCTAAAAATGTAGATAGCCACCTAAAACTTCCTTCCATTTACAACTGTGCCCTTAAATTTCCACACATCCTGAGTTACAACAGGAAGGAAGTGGAAATGGTGACCACTTCTGATCAAATGTGTCCTCATTAACCTTGGTCCTGCTCATTTGAAGAGATCCCTAAGGAGACATCAGTGACATTCTCCGGGTTCAAGTGAGTAATGGCATCAGATATTCTGTCCAGAGAGATGAGGGCTTCTGCAGCATATAAATGACCCAAAAACCTAAAGTTAAAAAGAAGAAAAACAAAAAAACGGATTTCAAACTGAAAAGGAGATCACCACAAAAATACCCAATGTATAAGAGTTGGTATATGTTACATATATTCAAGTCCTGGAACTGATATCTAAGTTTATAAATGGATAATTAAGGGTCACTTAAATGGTATCTCTTTAAAACAATCTTAAAATATACAAAAATTGCTCTGGTTGGTGTAGCTCACTTGGTTGGGTGTCATCCCATGAACTGAAGGTGGCGGGTTTGATTCCTGGTCAGGGAATGTGCCGGGCTTGCGGGCTCCAACCCCTTTGAGGGCGTGCAGGAGGCAGCTGATCAATGTTTCTCTCTCTCCCTAAAAAACAATTAAAAAAAATCTTTTTAAAATATACAATAATTTTTATATTCACTAAGTAGGGACAAATTACACATATCAATTAAGAAAGCTCAAAATTGGCAAATTTATGCTGTTCTATTTATACAGAAAGTAACGTTAACATAAGAAGGTAATGAGGCTCTAAAATGAGAGGCAAGTCCAAGGAGGAATGCCCATCGAGTGAAGATTCAGAACCAGATTGCTCCAGTCTCTGCTGCCAGAAAAGCCAAAACACACCAGAGCGCCAGACCAGACTGAGACCAGATTTCAGTTGCATCAACTCTACTTCCATTCGAAAGGTTTCTGCTTTTCTGATCATCTATTTTATGCCCACTGATGTCAGAGCAGATGCACATCCTCCTGGCTTACCACAGCCGCTTCTTCCAGTCTCTTACCTTGAGCCATTTTCCCCTCGATGCCCTGATTGATTTTTCAAAATGAAAACACGCTTAGACATATTACACCTTTGCTCAAAATCTTAATGATTTTTTTTCTACACGAGAACAAAACAGACAAAGCTAAACTTTTATAGATTTAAAGCTTCCATAGTTTGGTCCCACTGTCGTTCATCCGGTCAATATTCTTACTCCCCCAAAGATTCCCCTGTTCCTACCAAACAGTGTCTGGGCAGAGCACGCCCACTGCTCCCGGGTGGCCTTGCCTTCCTGGGCTCAAAGCTGGACCTCAACTCCACAAGCCATTACCTAACTCCGCCTTTAAAAGGGCCAGCTCAGGTCTCACCTCCTCTAGCTAGCCTGCCCCAACTTGGGTTGGGGGTGGAGGGGAGGGGAGGGAGGAAGGGACATGCAACAAGTGAAAGAACTTCACTATTAAACATGAAATATATACCACTTGCTTTCTCTTAATAATATATATTCACTCCAATAGGGGAGTAAAAAAAAGCTATATGCACCACAAACTAACCGAAAACCTCCCAACAAAACAAAGCAGGGACACACAGGGCAAGTCACACTTACTTAAGAGATCCTGACAGCTTGGGCTGCTGAAGAAGTTTATCTGCGTGATTCAAAGCCATAAGGTTATCACCCAAAGCCAGAGCCACGTAGGCACTACAGGCCAGGATGGAGCATCTGCAACATAAAAGGGGAGGGCTGAAAACCCGAGTTACAAAACTGACAATGGTTACATCTGCTAGATGGGAAAGAACACCCTAGTTATGACTGTGACAACCTGGACACCAGGAAAGCAGAGAGGAAGCCACACTAGTGATGGAAAATGCTTAGAATGATGTATAAAACTTCCGTCTGAAGCACAGTATAGCTATTTCCCTAAATAAATCATCTTTGGCTTCCATCCAACTGACCCCCATCTCCAACAAGTTAACCAAATAGAGTTACGATATATATATATTTAGCCTGTAAAAAAATACTGTAGTTAATGGCTTATTGAGAACTTATTTCCAGAGAACATTTTTAACATCCTAGAAATAAAGCTATAGAAGCAGATGTTACTCTTCCTATATTTGAGATTTTGCTAAGAAACACAGTCCATTTACAAAAATCCATTAACTCAGCTACTGTAAAAGGTCCTTCTCTGAGCCTATTTAGTCATAGTTCTTGCTAAGCAACAACAGAAAAAGTAACTAAAATAATTTCAGTTACACAGATACTATTATCCTCAGTGAATATTCAAGAAAAAAACCCAGGCTGAATAAATACATGTGAGAATAAAAAAATTAGGTTACACTTAATTTTGCTAAGTTGGGCTGGAAACCCACATTTCTGTTTGGTTTTCTACTTAACGTGTGGCTCATTTAAAACAGCTCTCGCTGAAGACTTGACACTAATAGATCACTCGAATGTTAAACAACCATTCCACAAAGCAATCTTAAAATAAACCCTTGTCAAATAGAAATGACGTCTGAATGGCCAGCCGCAAATGACCTGACTCAGATACAGGGTTTTGAGTTATGTTTACAAATTACAATACATATGTATATCATTAAGTGCATTTGGGTTGTAATTTCAGTCTAAGGAAGAACGTAACCATATCACCACTGAGTTTTCTAACACTCTGAAATCCTCTGACTAGAAATGGCCCTTTTTAGTAAAAGCCCAGCTGGGCCAGTTGGAGCGTACTCTGCTGTTTCCTCTCACTGGCTCACTCCTGGCTGCCGGAACCTCAGAAAACTATCTACTAATGGAAAAGTAGCCCCTCAACTTTGAACAACACAGAAAAGTAGATTGGTCCCAGAGAAGGCAAAAGTAAATTGAGATTTATGGCCTTAGGCTGCAATGGTAGGACTAAAAGACTGCCTAATGCGGTTCCTCGTTTTACCAATGGAGACACTGAGATTCAAAGTAATTAAATACACTGTTCTCTAGCTCAGAGGGTGTGATTCGAGTCAGGCTGACAGTCAACACTGTGGACTCCCAACTCACTGTTCTCCCCAGCCTATTCTCACTGCTTCTCTATCAAGTCCAAGGACTGCCCTAAAAATAAAGTAGAAAGATAAGATTACATTATGATTTGTCTATGCACATATGAACTTTGCATGTATCTGTACCTGCTGTCTTTTTAAAAAGGAAGAGAAAATTTAACCCAGATATTACAAGTTTAATTGTTACTGAGCACGAAATTGAAAATCTGAGAAGATTTTAAGAGCAGGCAAGTGGTGCCGCTTCCTGAGGGGTTTCCCTAACAAACCTACTGTCAATATCCCTCTATCTCCAAGAGCTGTCCTCACCAGCAAGACCACCCCACGGCTACAGCCCTGGGGGATCCTCTTCCTGACAGAAGACTCACAGGCCCAAAGGAGGAAGGCAGTGGCTACTTATCTCCCTTTTTCAGAAGCACTGCAGTGATTAGCTCCCGTGTTTTTTTAGGGAGATTAGTGAAATTTAATTTCCTCTGTTGGCTTACTTGTAGGTTTTATTTCACAACTAGTGGCCCGATGCATGAAATTCGTGCACATTAAAAGGGAATTAATTAGAGGAAATATTTTAATATTGCTATTTGCCCTTTCTCTATAATAGAAGTGTCTGGCCAGCCCCACCCCTATTGGGTGACACCAAGACCCACCTCCGAGGCTCCGTGGACACGCAGCCCCGCCCACCTGCACGCGCCCACACCTGCTCCGCATGCAGCCTCCTGGTAATGGATTGTGACAGCATGAGGGCATCATGGCGTGACGACTATTTGCATATTAGCTCTTTATTATATAGGCTGGTGATGAACATTTAGTTATCAGCAATGTATGCATCGCTTTTGAAGAAGAAGGAAGACTTTGAAAGCCCTGGGTCAGGTGTTCCAGAGGCCTAAGAAGATCAACTCAGGGCCTATATGAATGAGAGCCACAGAGCTGAACACCCATTTTCATTGGTGACTTTGCCAAAGATGGGGACAAAACATAAGCTCCTGAAAAGCAGAAGCCCACATCTTCTCCCTCCACAAAGACAAGAGCAATTGCTCACCACCTGTGGTAGGTGTTTACAAGGTATTCACTGAAGACCACTGCTTCAATGTTTTCAATTTACTTCTCAGGCACCCAGAGTCACGCCTGTCCTGTTGTAGGTCACCCTGCTGACGGAGCCGATCCTTCCTGGCTGCCACGGTCAGGGGAGCCGCGGAGAGTGCCCTGGGTCCCAGAGGCCAGGACGGCCTCTCCTCAGGCGGCTCGCTGGGAAAAGTCTGCCCTGGCCTCTCCTGACAGTAGGGGGCTATTATGCTCCAGCCCACTGTCAAGCCCACTTTGGGTCCAGAAATCAGTCATGTAAGATTTGCAGCAAGGATTCCGTTTCCCAGGAAGTCCAAACTATATACAAGGTACGTCTGTTAACTTCTGCCCCTTCCCCCATAAGATACCATTATCAAATCACAACGGGGTAAAAGATTCTAATAATAAAACAAGCTTTCTAGGAAAAGAAACACACAAATATGTGAATGCAAAACTTGAAGGCTGGCTTTCTGATAAAAACAACAACATTAGGGTTAAGCAAGTTCCACCGCATGAAACGCAAAGTAACATTTATGCCCCTCTTCTCTTAGTGCCTTACAATGGCCCCAACTCATCTCTCCTCACCCTCTCACTCATCCTCCTTTTCTGCTTAGAAAACAGTCCTGTACTCTTCTGCACCATTCCCACAGACCGGGAACCCTGGAAATGTGCACGGTTTTATCTACTAAGCCCCTGGAGAACACACTTTACTTTTGATAGATGCTACTTAAAATATTGACACTCCCTACCCCCTGCCCCACTGTTTCCTCGAGTCACTGTCCAATCTGCTTACCAACCCCTCAGTGGATCTGACAGTTCAGCAGACTGGAAGGACTATACCTCAAGGGAAGAGACACACTAGCTTCTGCCTGCTGTGGAGGATCTCATACAATCCCACTCTCTCCTCCACACACTGGAGAGCTGGCTCTAGGTCCACAGACCGCCAACCCTTGGAAAAGAAAAAGATGAAGGAAGGAAAGAAAAAGGAAAAAAATTCCTTTTCTTAAAGCACCAAATTACAGCCGAAACCGGTTTGGCTCAGTGGATAGAGCGTCGGCCTGCGGACTGAAGGGTCCCAGGTTCGATTCCGGTCAAGGGCATGTACCTGGGTTGCGGGCACATCCCCAGTAGATGTGCAGGAGGCGGCTGATCGATGTTTCTCTCCCATCAATGTTTCTGACTATCTCTCTCCCTTCCTCTCTGTAAAAAATCAATAAAATATATTTAAAAAAAAAAAAAAGCACCAAATTACAGCAATAAGCTACACAAGATTGGGCATTAAAATCTGTCAAGCCATATATCTCGTGAATTAAATCTATCTAAAGCAGTATCTGAAGTAGTTTAACCTTTATTAAAGAGAGGTTAGAATGGGGGGAAATTCAGGAAGTCACCATTTGTCAAAGGAAAATAAATTCACAAAGTGATCTCACAGCAAACATTGTTTGAGAACTTGACTGCAAAGATCCAGTAAGAGAAATTCTCCCCAAAACTGAATATAGTATTGAATTTTAAAATATTAAAAAAAAATTCATGTTGTTTCCATTTATTTGTAACCATCTAGAAAATGGTAAACCTGTCAACTTTCAACTCTTAAGAAAATTCAAAAGTTAAATTAGGTAAGTTTTTCACTTCATATCTTCTGTAATCATTTTGCTTTCCAATAATAGTTCTATGCAAAAAAAAATTTTTTTTTTTTTAAATCTTACTGACAAACACACCCAAATCCAAAACAAATAGAAGCCCCGTATAAAGAAGCTGAAAAAGTTTTTCGTTTTGCCGAAACTGGTTTGGCTCGGTGGATGGAGCGTCGGCCTGCGGACTGAAAGGTCCCAGGTTCGATTCCGGTCAGGGGCATGTACCTTGGTTGCGGGCACATCCCAGTGGGAGATGTGCAGGAGGCAGCTGATCGATGTTTCTCTCTCATCGATGTTTCTAACTCTCTATCTCTCTCCCTTCCTCTCTGTAAAAAATCAATAAAATATATTTTTAAAAAAATGTTTTTCGTTTTAACCAAATCTAGCACATTGGAGAACCCAGTCCACTCCAGGCGGCAAATAAAATGCATAGAGTCAGAGATTTTATATGTGGACCTTATGATCACCCAGCTCAATTCACTTATTGGACAGAAGAGAATAGTAAAGCCCAGAGGGAGTAAATGATTTGTCTGATGTCAGCAGAGGCCTGGGGGGGTTTCCACAGAGCGGCAGACCACTGAAGAATTATTCTAACCCTGGCCTGTGAGGAATCTCATCACCAGTTAATCTAAATGAAATCTAGGACACACGTGTGAATCATACCAATCTGAGCACAAACTGCTGATAACACAAACAAAATGTCATACCTAAAAAAAAAAAAAAAAAAAAGTCATACCTGCAGGCAGGTTTCTTCGTTGGAAGTTTATTAGATGGACAAGCGTTAGTAGGACCATACTCAGTTACAAGACTGAAATGGGGGAGATTCAAAAGGTTATTAGCCATAATCCTGTTTTAGGTATGTCTTGTGAAGTACAATAGAACCACTAGGCTAAAACCAAAAGAAATGTGATTCCTTAAGTATACTAAAACTGCCCATGATATTTATGCTATTAACCATTTGTTTGATTCATTTCCTCTTATAAACATTGGGCCATGGGAG